TAAAGGCCAGCGAGCTAAGGGGAAGGACCTGGCCTGATTGTGGGTGGCAACATCTGGTAGGCTTGCAGCCCAGATGAAATGGTAAGAGGAAGACCGATGTCCACTTGCATCTGAAAAGCTCCATTCTGCGTAAGCAGGTGTGACTAACATCACTCTGTGGACACCAGCTGGCAGCTTCTTCAGCCTTTCAATTCAGAACCACACCAGAGACTCTGTTCCTCTAGGAACCTGCTAATAAATTCCTTGTATAATTTTATAGACATATCCTAGTTTTTATTTTATTTTTTGTGGCCAGCTCAAACCCACATAGGGGGCTGGCTCAGTAGATGGTGCAGGGGATCGAACCATGGTCCCTGTGTGCTTGCATAAGCAGGCACTTTAGACCACTGAGCTATCTCACCGGCCTCTCTTTTTCCTGTTGGTTCTGTTCCTCTAAAGAGCACTAACCAACACAACTAAATTATTAGCCATATTTTCTTACATCATTTATTAAATAATTGATGTCTTTTAAATAGATTGACAACATTGAATTTTTAATCAGAAATACCAACATACTCAGGTTCAATTTTAGTCCTGTGGTACTGTCCTATTTATCTTTTTTCTTGTTCTGCCTGATAATAGCACTGTATTTTAAATACGTCAGCCTTTAAGAATATGATTTGGGAATTTTGCCTCCGTGCTTTATAGAGAAAATCTCTTGGCTCTTTTGACATTATCTAGTTTTCCAAATATATGTTAGAATCATTTTGTCAAATTTAGAGAAAATTAAACCTTTGATGAAATTATTATTTGAAAGATGGGATCATTAAAATCATTTGATTTACTTATGGGTATTTATTCACAGTTTAAAAATGTAGGGGCTGGGGAGATAGCTCTAAGCACCTGCCTGCCAAGTGCGAGGACCCAGGTTCCATCCCTGGTACCACATGTTGTGCTGGCATCAGAATCTTGGGCAAGCTGTGCTGGCTGCCAGAACTGGCTGTGGCGGCACACACCTGTCATCCACCCCAACCCTGGGGAGGCTGAGACAAGAGGGTCACTGTGAGTCCAAGCTGCATAGTGAGACCCTGTACCAAATACGTAAAGAAAAAGATTTTTAAAAATGTATTTTGGGGCCTGGGGAGATAAATCAATAGAATAAACACTTCCCTGGCAAGTGCAAGGGCCTGAGTTCTATCCCCATTTCCACAAAATAAATAAATAAATATTAAAAAAAATTGTATTTTGATGAAGCACCGTATTTTTCTTAAATTTATTTGTAAGATTTTTACATTTTTATGAAAACACTTTTCTAATCATTGTTGAAAGGGAAAATTATTTATTTTTTTCTATTGATTTGCTATTTCCCATCTTAATTCTTACTAATTTTAATGAATGTTGGTGAGCTCTCATTGACTTTCTAGGTGCTAACCATCTATAAATAAGCCTAGATTTTTCTTTGCTTCCTATTGATTGGTGTGTTAGAATTATGGTAAATAATGTTATTATGGTTCATGTTTCCCCCAAAGGAAAAAAAAGTATATTGAAAGGGCAATTTATGATGAATTTTCTCTGATAAGAAATGGAAGTTGAAGCTGATCACATTGTTGTCAGTATTTTTCAGGATCAATGTTTTGGCTCATTGTTCTTACTAATGTTATAAAATCTTACTATCTTCCTAACATGATCCATTGAATTTCTAGGTCATATTGTAATTAATTGAGGAGCGACTATCGAAGGGGCTGGCCATTCCTGTACAATATGACAGTACTGCAACATGTCATCGTTTGTATTCTTGGTCAGTATTAGTTGAGCTTTTAGAGTAGATGATTTATTTCCTGCCATTGTGGTGTTTAAAAGTTGCATGAAGTGATCACAATATAAGATTGTAACCAGATGGTTAGACCTGGAGGAAGGCTGGCAGAAATGCTTGCTCAGGAATATGCAGAGGCCGTCTCCAAGATCGTGTTAAGCTTCTCTTTCTAATGTTGAGGGTGAGCGCATGGGAGCTGAATGTGTGTGTGTGTGTGTGTGTGTGTGTGTGTGTGTGTGTTTTACACTTGTAATTTCCTTTTGCATCTTTATCATGAGATACTAGAAAGTTAATTTCTTATATCACAGTTCCTTTCTGATAACCAGATTGCAAAGGTGCAATATTCTCTCAAATCTTACTGGAAATGCAAATACAATTTTTTTAAAAAAAATATGTTGTGTTACATAAGTTAGTTACAAAGAGGGAGGGGCATAGTTATCAAATCCTTGGACTGTTCATATTTTGAATCATTTAATGTATTCCCTGTGTGAGTGATGCTTTATTTGTGTGGTCATCTTTACCTGAAAAGGTGTGTATTTGGGCGGTGTAGACAGCTAGGAGGGGTGTTCCCGATAGGTGGGCCTTCATATTCTCATGGATTGCTCTCAGAAGAAATGGCAAAAGAAAGTTTGTATTTAGAAGCTTGGGGTTCGAGTCGTTTGTGGGGTGTAGGCCAAAAGCTCCCACTGGTTAAGGCAGCTGTGCAGCCAGCAACAGTGCAGCTGCAACTGTGACACACGGCTCCCCTGGTGTTTGCTGTGATGTCTCAGCACTGAGCAGGGGTGCGTGCCCCTATAGCTCGCAGGACTGCTACCCTTGCAGATCTAGCGAGTTGCAAGGGGCTCCTTCCCTACGGAGGCTCCTTTGCTAAGCCCTGTAGAGGCTGTGTGACCTGTGAGCAGCTTCATTGTCATAGGTTGGGGTTTTTCAAGGGGAACAATACAATACAAAACACATTTTGCAAGATTACTTATAATGAAGGACTCAATGAATCATATACAAAAGTATAGGGAATCTGTCCATGCTCTAAAGACTAAAAGAATCCAACTGAGGGTCTGGAGCCCATGATAATACCCTGCATGAGTCTAGCTGGAGACCTAAAGCCCACGACAAAGGTCAAGCAGGCATGTTTCATGGATCTGCCCTGGAGAGGCCCAAAGGTTAGTGATGGAAGCTAGAAAGTCTGTGCCAGCAGGAGGAAGGATCTGTGCCAGCAGGCTGAGGGGTCTGCACTGGAGCCAGGAAGCAACACTCAAAGTAAAAACTAGCAACAAAGAGGTCCAATGCTCCTTCTCCAATGAGAACAAACAAATTCACCAGGAAAGCCAACATGAGGTCACCTGGCACACTAGCCCAGGAGAACCAGAAGCTTCCAGTGACTCCAGCAACTTCCACAGCTTCCCTAAGAGCCTCCCAACAGCCTATCCAGTTCTGCCTCTTATGCTGCCTGCAATAATCCTCAGGTGGGCCTCCCACACCCAGCACCATGCTAGCTCAGGTCAGCTAGGCGCAACAAGTTGACCACCAGCTGGCAATCCACCACACTTGCTATGGGCAGTGCTGGGTCACTTTCTTTAATCTTTTACATAGCCCAGGCCAGTCCCTCACTTGTCATTCAGGTCACCTGCCATAGTGTTTTGGAAAAATCTCATGACACAGTAGAAGAACTGGACACTGGTGCTTTTGGTTAGTTTTCTCTCATTGCTGAGACAAAAATACGTGCTTCCTGGAATTAGGGAAGGGAAGGTTTATTTATCTCACAGTGTGTGGAGGTTTCAGTCCGTAATCGGCTGGCTCCCAGGTAGAGTGGCACATGGCAGAGGGTAACAGTTCATGGTGGTAGAAAACAGCAAAAACAGCAAGAACAAAGAGCCCCTTTCCCTCCCTTATGTTGCATTCAGACTATTCACCCCAGGGTGGGTGTAGCACTCACACCCATAAAGCTAGCACTGGGTCATGAATTAAACACAAACTCTAGAAGCCCGTGCCATGACTGCATGTGGCTTTGGAGGACATCTAAGACACAAACTGTAACAACCAAAGACAGAGCTGTCAAGAAGCCAAAGGATGTGGCAGACAAATCCAGGATTGCACAAAGCGCAATTTAACTGAGGACTTACAGATAAAGTGGGCAACGGCATTCCAGGTGGATTGCTGTACCTCAGTGAAGGAGAAAGGAGTTTATATGCTGAGCTAAACAAAGACAGCTCGACATCAACTGGAACACTGTATGCCTGGCCTTTCTTGAAAGGTACTAACTTGTCCAATGCTGTTTAAGAAATAGTCTAAGCACCAGTGGCCAGCATACCCTGCTCCACTGACTATTATTTTTGTTTTTTTGGGTTTTTTTTGGTGGAACCAGGGATTGAACTCAGGCCCTTGTGTTTGCCAGGCAAGCGCTTATTCTACTGAGCTTAGTCTCCCAGCCCCTCCACTGACTATTGGAGTTGAGGCTTGGGAGGTTGACCGGGTTCAGCTGGTGGCAGACACAGTGGAATGGCAGCTCCTACCAAGATCACTGCAGTCATGTCACAGTGGGTCTCTTCTCACGGTTTTCTACCTCCCTGGGTTGTAGGAAGCAAGGATGGCAAGACTCAGAGACATAAGCCCAGTTTTGACAGATGCAACCTTCTGGCTCCTGTCCCTTTCTCTTGTTGGTTTGGCCACCACTCCTGTGAATCTGCTCTGGCAACAGCCTCGTGGGAGAGTGTCCTCATGGAGCACACTCTGGCTGTGGTGTGGGCATGGCTGTATCCTCCTCAGGCCTTAGTGTCTCTTCTGGGGTCCAGGACATATAACACAAAATTTACGAACTGAACATCTTTGAGTGTGTGAGGAGTGTTACGTGCGCTCACACTGCCGTGCAGCCACCCCCGCTATGCACTTCAAAACTTTCTCATCTTCCAAAACTGAAACTCCGGTACCCATGGAACAGTACCTTCCTATTCCTCTCTCCTCGTGCACTGGTACACCCTACTCTGCTTTTTCTCTGTGTATGGACGTACTCCAGGCATGCCAGGCAAGTGGAGTCAGACAGCATTTGTGCTTTGTGTGATTGGCTTAGTTTACTTGGCAATGTCCTCAAGGCTCCGATGTTGCATCATATGTTAGAATTTCGTTCCTTTTGAAGGATAAATACTCTGCCGCTGTATGGATCTACCGCAGTGTGCCTGCTCCTCCGTGCGCTGGTGGAAATTGGACCACAGCCGCCTCACTCAACCTCCTCATCGCAGAGACACTCAATACCTGCAGTTCAAAGAATGAGGGGTTTATTTTGGCTCATATTTTTGCTTCATGGCTGGCTGGCTGGAAAGCGGCTGCCACAGGGAAGGGCCTCCCAGAGAGCGGAGAAAGGAGCCAGGTAGGGAAAAGCACCACCCAGGTCATGCTTCCAACGCGCTCCTAGTCTCCGCCTCCTAGCGGCCAGTCAGAAATAGCGCCCACGTACTCCAGTCATCTTCAAAGGCGTGCAGCTTCCAGGGCTGTTATATCTAAAGCAGAGTAACAGCATTCTTAAAAAAAAAAAAAAAAAAAAAATCTTTTTTCATTTGTGTTTTCTAGAAATACTGTATTTTTAAATAAATCACCAAAGGCCAAGTATTTCTTGCCTTTGCTTTCAGTTTCTAGTGCATTAAGCTTGATTTTTTAAAACCAGTGGGTCTAGAAAACCACTAGAAGGACTTACTACCGCACGTTTCTGGGTTTCATCCTCAGAATCTCAGAGTCCATATTTCTGGGTGAAGCTTGAGAATTGCCAAGTCTCACAGGTTTTCAGGGTGCTGATGATGTTGAACCCCATTTTGAGAATTATTGCCCTAGAAATTCTGTTTGTTGTTGTTGTTGTTGTTGTTTTTTTTTTTTTTCAAGTACTGCCTACGACGTGGGGAAGAATAGCTGTCCACCCATATGCTTTCCAGAGAATCAAGTCACTCACAGGCCCTGCTGGCCTTAATCGCCAGGTGCTGCCCTGGAAGGATCCTTCTGCAAGCTGGCCACTGACCTTTGACTTCCATGACCTCACTCAACAAGGTGAGCCAGGCTGGACTCTCAGGAACTGGATGGCGTGAGGTGACACAGAAGGAAGTTAGATTGCTGACCAGGCGAAAATCTGAGGGGACTGACACTAGGGGGACCACTGTGGGTCTAGGCAGAAAGCCAGCGATGAAGAACTCAAGGTGGCCATGCGCCCAGAATCAGAGATCTCCATGCCCACTCCTTTTGTGAAGATCTCCCCTAACCTTTCCACTTCCTCCCTCCCTGCTGAGGCCATCCTGGCTGCCAGAAAGAATTGGCCCCTGGGCTTGGATTTCAGTGAAGCCATGAAGAGAAAATGCACCATGAAATTATATGGCTCCTGCTAAAGGGACGGCCATCTGCTTTTTCTTTAAGCCTTTTCCCTCTCCATAGTATTTGAAACCATTATGTTCTGGTGCTGTCTCTCCTTCCTGGCAAAACTGTGTACATTAAAAAAAAAAAGTCCTCATTTAAACAAAACAGAATGTAGAGTTTAAGGCACTGGTGAATTCCCTCAGGCATTTGTGGCTTCTCTACCATTTTCTATATATTAGTATTAATAATCTCTTAATTTTGTTCTTTCCGTTTCCCTTGTCCCAATTTTGGGATAAAAGTGTATAGTCTTCTCTTCTGCTGCATATCCTATAAGCTGTTCTGTAAGTGTACAGGTATATGCCCTGAACTTTGTCTCAAGTGATACATGACTTTAAAGTAGTCTTTCTCAGTGTCCTCTCAACATTTCTGAGCTTTGGAGGAAACTTGTCCCATTTTGGTGAATAAGATAAAAACATCAAGTAACAACAGGTGAAATAAAAAGCCAGATCCAAACAAAATTTAACAAAAAGTATTCTAAAAATAAACTTTAGCTCACAATTGTTAGCAGTAAAAACTTCGCTTTTTAAGGATATCCAGAAACAATTAAATGTGGCAAAAATGAGACATTTTGGTTCCATTTTTGAAGATGGACTTTTAAGAGGTGCTCTGGAGGGTACCACGTGACCACTGAACAAAGCACAGCCCCCAGTCACGGCGCATTTTCATCCCTGTTCTTTTTATTGTTTCCAGACACTGGAGCTGTCCTCCTGCGTAGCGTGTCCTGTTTTCACAAGGGAGACTCGATCGCCGTCTCTAAATGTCCATGGATAAGCTGCAACGCGAGCCTGTCTAGCAGAGGATACCTGATATTTCTCAAGTTACCAGCTCTGTGTTTTGACCTGGCAGGGGTTTCTCTGTGTTCCATGTAACTCTCGTCTCCTTACCTGGTCCAAGCATCAGAAATGACATTAGCCTTTTTTCAGCTTTTGAAGTCAGTCTATTTCACACAAGGGACATATCTTTGTGGGCGTTCTTCCACTGGTTTCTACCTCTTTCCAAGTATAGTACTTGTGCCCTTATCTACATTTTTGCCTTCTGGGATTCCAGTAACCCATAGTCAACCATGGTCCAAAAGCAGTGAGAGAAAAATTCCATGAAGGAACAATTTTTATTACAGTAGATCATTATAATTTCCTATTTTATTTTAGGTACTATTAATTTAATAGATTATTTTTTATGTTTAATTTAATTTTTTATCATTTTAAAATGTTTTATTATTTCTTTAGTTGATACAGGGCCTCGCTATGCAGCTTGCGATTATAGTGATCCTCCTGTCTCAGCATCCCCATCACGGGTATTACAGGCTTGTGCCACCACACTGGGTTACAGTGGCCAGCCTATGGTTCTGGGGCTGGCACAGCACGCAATGCGGGGGATCAAACCTGGGTCTTTGTACTTGCCAGGCAGACACTTAGACCACCAAGCTATCTGCCGAGCTCTCTTTTGGTCTTTTGAGCCAGGGTTTTACTAAGCAGTTCAGGCTGGCCTGCAACTCACTTTGCATCCCAGGCTGGCCTCAAACTCATAGTGCTCTTCCCTCAGCCTCCTGAGTGCTGGTGTTACAGGTGTGTGCCACCGCCCATGCTTTATTATAATGCGGTTTGGCATTATCCTTGATTTCAGGCACCCATGGGGGTCTTGGAATATACTCCTTAAGGATAAGAAAGATCAACTGTACTGATTTTGTCCTTTCCTTCTTCTAGTGATTGAGGGTCAGAAGATGTGGAGATGTATGTTTCCCTATTTCTGGCCCTGAGATGCATTTTATGAGAGGGTTCTGGGTTCCTTGCTGGACTGTCAGGTTCAGGTAGGTGGGCAGGGGATGAGGTAGGCTTTCTAGGATGTCTTCCCCCAGTGAGCGGGACAGGGGAGATGGTCTCTGCAGTAGCCAGTCACTGGACACGCCTTGCTGGAACCACTTGTGCTGCTAAGTGCGGGCTGCCTCTCCTTCTGTGCCACATGGGGCAGCAGGGGGTAGTGGTAACGTGGAGGCATTTCCATCAAAATGCAGGAAGGCGCCCACTCCAGAGGCACTCTTGGAGGATGGGCCAGAGGAAACCTTCTCCCCGTCTGCCATGGCCTTCCTGAGTGAGACTGTGCTCTAAACCGCAGCCAGCCTGTCCTGGGAGACCATCTTGCAATCTGCTTTCTGTTTCTCTGAGTGTCAGATCATTTCCCGAGAGACTGAAGTCCACGGTACCTTTTTCTTTGACTGTGAGCTGATGTAGCTTTTCCTTGGGTCACTGCAGTGGGTATTTGGGAACCATGGCTGGTGGGGTCTGGGAGGATTTCTGGATGGGGAGAAGTCAGAATCCAGACTCTCCTCATTTATTATTAATGAGCCCTTATGTAGGCACTGATTTTTATTTATTTATTTTTAAATTTAAAGACTTTCATTTTATGGAAAAAAGTAAAACTTTCAAAACAAAATAATAGGAGAACAGCAATAGTTAATACATTGCAGTGGATACAACTTGAGACCATACTCATAAGTGAACTGAATCAGACTCAGAGACTTTTATATATGAATGATAACAAAGAAAAATGCCCTATCTTTCAGTTCTGTGTAGTGGACAGAGTATGAAATTTAGACTTGGAAGTCTTTAATTCAGGTCTCAGCTCCACCAAATACTGGATAGATGATCCTTGGCTTCAGATTTCTTATCTGTTTGCCTAAGTTAATAATGATATTTCTACACAGAGCAGTTGCCACCTGTGCTTGGACTTTATTATCTCACACTTGCTTCTTAAAGTGGAGAGAAGAATCCTGTTTGCACTACTCTGAGACATGATCCCTTTTTCTTTCCCCTTGATGATGGTTTTCCATCTTAGAGAAGTGCCAGCCCCTCAATTATTATTATTTATTTTTTAGGTACTGGAGATCAAACTCAGGACTCCCCTACCATAGAGCTTACCCCTGCAGCCTTTTTTATTTTTTATTGTGAGACACGCTCTTACTAAGTTGCCCAGGCTGGTCTCAAAATTGAGATCCCCCTGCCTCAGTTTCCTGAGTAACTGGGATTATATATGTGTGCCAACCTTCATTTTTCAGCTGTGTCCTCTGATAGAGGTTGAGCTCCATCTTTGGATAAAGGCCATGGCTTCCTCTGCCCCGCCATCCTGTTCCTTAGGGCAACCTTGATTGCTTAGGATCTGGATTCTCAGGAAATGATATCCTGGAATCCATTAGCATTGACATAATACAAGGAAAACTGAAAAAGTAGATGCTCATTCATCCCATGAGTGCTTATGAACTGTCCATCATGGCTGGATACATTCTAGGTCACATTCTGATTCTCTCATTTAGTCTCAGGGTTTCCTAAAGAAACAAAGCCAGTAAGGTGGCTGTATGAGAGGGAAAAAGAGAGGGAGGGAGAGGGGAGAGAGAGAGATAGAGACAGAGACAGAGAGACAGAGAGAGACAGAGACAGAGACAGACAGAGAGACAGAGAGACAGGCATGCAGACAGAGACAGAGAGAAAGACAGAGACAGGGAGAGAGGCAGGGAGAGGGAGGGAGAGGAGACAGGGACTGGGAAAGAGGAAGGGAGAGAGGGAGGAGAGAGAGAGAGAGACAGAGAGAGAGAGAGAGAGAGAGAGAGAGAGAGAGAGAGAGAGATCTATTTTAAGGAATTTGTCATGTGATTATGGGAGCCAGTAAGTCTGAAATCTGCAGTGCAGACCAGGAAATGGGTAGTCTTGTAGTCTTGCATTTGAAGGCCATCTGAAAGCAGAGTTCTTTCTTCAATGGGGGAATCTCAGAGAAAGCCTTTCTCTTAAGGCTTTGAACTGATTAGAAGAGGCCCACTCACATGGTGGAGGGTCATTTGCTTTATGCAAACTCAACTGAGTTCAGTGTCAAAGCCACCTTAAAGATATCTTCATAACAATGTCTAGACTATTGTTTGACCAATAACTAGATCCTGTAGCCTAGCCAAGTCAATGCAAGAAAATTAACCATCATACTAGAAGAGCTATAAAATACATAAGAAGCCTGAGTCCCACTCCCAGTTACTCTGGTTTAATAGATCTTGGAGTAGCTGGGGTACTGGGATTCCTCAAAACGTCTCAGGTGACTGTAATGTGCAGCAAAGTACATAGGGGTTATAGCAAGAAACAAAAGGAAAACATGTGGGCTTGTTAGGAGTTTGTGGATAGTGGTTAGAGTCAAAGGACTGCCAGGTAAACAGATAATCATCTAGAGGTGGTACTGCCTCTTGGGATGCAGTAAAAGAAAGCAGACTGGGAGAATAGCAAGGATAGGAATGTTTCTAGATCAGGTGGTGGTGTGGGGAGGCCTCCCTTATCAGGAGAGGAGCAGGAAGTGATGACTTGTGAAGCACAGCAAGGAATCTTTCTGCTGTATTAATACTAGGCCAAGTAGGAAGGAAACGGTATCCCAATGGTCAGATTTTTTTTTTTTTTTTGTATTTTAGGGAAAGATCTACAGGGTGTTCAAGTTCTCACAACTAGATTGGACTCATAGTGATCCACCTGTTTACGGTTTCCCAAGAGCTGGGATTACAGGTGCGTGCCACCATGCCCAGTCTCAATGTCCATGTCAGCGTGCCCCAGGGGCAGGGTCAGCATGGCAGGCCTGGGGATCAAACCTCTAGCCCCTGCACCTGCTTGCAGGCACTTTAATCTGCTGAGTTATTTGGCTGGCCCTTGAAAATCTTTCTTCTAGACCAGCCCCCCACCCCTCCACCCCCCACACAGGCATGTACACATGCGCACACATGTGTAAGTGTGCAACATACTTTCAAGGAGAAACAGCACACACTCAGGGGGAGGCGGGGAGCCTCATACAACCACTCACAGCCAGATGGGTGGGGCAGCGTGGGTGGCTAAGGCCATGATCTGGAGTCTCCTGCAGGGACACAGGCCTGAAGACAGCACACTTTGTGAGCAGCCAAAGCAAACATTAAAATAACACAGCACTTTGCCTCACCTTTTGACACCATGGTCTGTGAAAATTTCAGGGCTGTGAAACAACAACAGGTCATCTCAATACAGCTGAGGCAAAAAGGAAAAAAAGAAAGAAAGGAAGAAAGAAAGAAAGAAAGAAAGAAAGAAAGAAAGAAAGAAAGAAAGAAAGAAAGAAAGAAAGAGAAAGATATAGTTCCTTATGCACATTGACACTAGGCTACCACTACATTGGTTTTGAAAAGAAATAATAGATGACCATAAATGTCAGAAGAAGGACATAATATATACATTTATTATGTTATATTTATTTTTATATATGGTGTATAGTCATGTTATATATTATGTAATATATGTGATATGTATTATCCATAAAAATGCTTATACATTAGTTTTCAGAATTGCTTGAGATTTACAGAACAATTACAAAGACAGACTAAAAGTTCCCATACAGCCCACACATGGCTCCTTCTCCTAGGCCCACTCTGTGCCGTGCTTGCAGGTTTCCTCAGACAATTCATGTTCCTGTCTTCTCCAAACTTCTGGGGTTTCTTCCACACCTGTGTCTTCTAACTTAGAGTTTCACACTCTGCCCTCTCAGGGGCTGGCCTCCCAGGCCTTCTGAAATGAGGGTGGAAGCCACGTTAATGCCACAATTTTTGCATTCTCCATGCTCCTAAAACTAGCACCACATGGATGGTGCCAGGGTCCCCTGCCAGCTGGAGCAGTAGTATCTGGGCTTTCCTTTCTCTTAGCTGTACAGGTCGAGTGCCTGGATCACCAGGAATTCTGGCTATAATTCTGAGAAACAAATTCTCGATGCTGTCACCATTCTGGAGCATGGTTTGGCTGTTGCCATCCTGGAACACGGTGCTCTGTGGCTTTTTCCTCAAATCAAAGACTTTCACCTTCACAGTTTTGAGGCTGAAAACAGTAGAGACTTGCTGCTTCTTGTGATGCCCTCAGCCTGTCTTTTGTTCTCGTGCTCCTGCTCAGCAATCAAGATTTCCTCAGCTCTGTCTTTGTAGTCTACATCTTTATGGGAGGTTTCTTTCTGGGCAAACTCACATTTTAAAGTATCCAGTGGGCTCTTTGTTCTTGATTCTTAACATAAATCTGGCGAAAAGCCTCCATCAATCTCCATGCAGCAGCCTCAAAATTCAACTGCCTTGAAATTCTTCTGCCGGATTAATCAGTCTGCTGCCTTTAATCTCAGTTTTAGGAACTGTCTCTGGACATGAGCATGATACGGACAAGCTTTCTGTCAAGCCATAGCACACATCATGTTGAGTGTGATGCCCAGCGCAGTCCTTCTTCCCAGCAGAGACCTCTTGAACCTCATCTTTACCGGCAGGCTTTCTATCAGCATTCTGGTCTTCTGAGTTCTGACCGGAATCTCTCATACAGAACAGCCTACGGTGTTACAGCTCTACTCTTCCAGATGACATCTCCAAACTCTTCTTACAAGCCATTCCCAAAGGCTTTCAACCACATGGTCAGGTATGCTCACGGCAACGACCTCACTTTCCTGTCACCAAATTCTGTCTTAGTTACTTTTCTTTCACTGCTGAGACAAAATGCCTGATGCCCAGAATTAAGGAAGGAAAAGTTTGTTTAGCTCACAGTTTGCGAAGATTTCATATTCCTCTAGCTCCAGGGCAGAGTGGCACATGGCACAGGAATAATAGTTCAAAGCAGCATAAGACAGAAAAAGCAATCAGAGTAAAAAGGGTCAGGGAGAGCAGGCATGTTTCCCCTTTATATTTTAAGTAGTCCTCCAGCCACTAGGGCTGTTGCATGTAGCACTTATATGGTCTCCTCTGCCCTCCTCTTGCACAAGATGAGGATGTTTATAAAGTGAGAACCCTGGCCCCTT